CACAGCACGGCTGGAATCTTTGGTCTTTGCTTCTATGCAGGATGCCAGGGATCCCCTCCACTCCCCCGAGCTCGTGAAGGTCATTGCTGATCTCAAGAAGCTGGACAAGAACAACAAGGATGGCAATGATGAAGATGATCAAGACGGTCCGGAGGATGAGGAATTGGAGGAAGATGAAGAGGTTGAAGAAGCTGATAAGCCGGAGGAGGAAAAGGAACCAGAGGAAGAGTTGCCAGAAGTGGTGTTCGAGGATGATGATGATCAGGGGACACCCAAATTCCTGGATGATGAGGACCAGGACCAGGAGGAGGTGGAAGAAGTCGAGGGCATCATGGATCCCACGCCTAAACCAAAGGCAAAAGCAAAGGCGAAGGCCAAAGCTAAAGGCAGGGCATCCGCCAAAGCGAAGGGCAAGAAAGGTGAGGAGCATCAACCTGAAAAGAAGCCAAGGAAGCCGAGGAAGAAGAAGGGTGAGACAGCCGAGGAAGGTGAACCACTTGAGGTGAAGCCCAAAGCCAAAGCAAAGTCAAGGGGCAAGAGAGTAAAGGAAGCAGCACCGCAGGATCCAAGTCTTTATTAAACAAGATTTTCAATTCTTTAGCCTAAGCCGTATTAAACCATTTATTAAGTACCATGTTTCTGGACTCTTGGAAGCCTCCTCGTCTTCCCCCCCACAGATCATGCTTCCCAGGATGAGCCTGGTGGGTCAGCAGCTTCAAAGCTGCGGAAGATGGTGGGGGTCGAGTGACCTGAGCGGCATGCGGCATTGAAGGGCCAACCAGTGGTGGTGGGTTGAGTGAGCTCCTTTTAAAGAATGTTTCCATTGTTGGATTCAAAGTTCAACTCAACCAATTCAACAATTTTGACATGTGAAAGACTATCTGGTTCATTACTCAATGTTGAAAATAAAACTATAGATATGTCCGATTCACTCAAGGGGTCACTGGTGGCCAGTCGGTTTTTGCTTGCACCATGACATGTCTGTGACGTTGGGTGCAGTTGAATGGGAGCTCTCAGGAGGGAGTCTGACCTTCAAAGCAACAAACCATGAAAAGACACTGTGCAAGAGTCCATGTGAGTCAGATTCCTGGCTGGCCTCTCACAATCTTAGTCTTAGAAGCCACTCGTCGGTGAGAGCACCGATTGATGATCATCATCGAAGGTTCCCAGAAAAATCTCAATCGTCTCACTCGCCGTACTGACTTGAACTTGTGGTACCATGCTGGTTGAGCAGCACTATGGATTGATGACACCGTCTATGTTCAAATCAGCGTGGGGGCTCTGGAGGTCGTGAAGACCTCATGGGCTTCATGGGCCACTGCTTTGTGTGAAGCATTTTTGCAAGGACAATTAATAAACATATAGCATGTCACCAGGCAGTACCACGGATGTGTATGAAGAAAACGAAACAACCAAGTCCGCGCTGGTGTCACGGCCATGCCAATGAAAATCAAGATCGGATCAGACTTTTCTGGATTAGAATGTTTGAGCTGGGCTCTCACGATGCTTGGTGGTGCCATTCAACTTGAACTATAATGATCATGGAAGTGTTTCAAATGACACCCCAACCAACTGCCCATCATCTGAGGAAATCTAAGATCCCGTACAGCTTGGAGTTCTTGAGCGAGAAGGACAATGCCTTGAGGCTGATGGCTGGACGGGTCCATTCCCCCAAGGTTGTGTTCAGTGACTCTTGGATTCAGGGATGTTCAACATTTTAACTTTGGAACATGTATTTTTCAGGGACACCTCAACACTTTACTTTGGTTCTGAGCTTTAACTGACCAAGGATGCTACAAAAAGGAATGTCAACAAAATGCCCAGGGTGCATCTCTATGGAGCAGGGCCGCCATGTCAAGGTGTGTCTGTGGCTGGCAAAAAACGAGGTCTGGAATCTTGCTTGAACCCTTGCACGATGTGTTCACAAGTTGTTCAGGGATTGGTGCCATTATGCCAATTAAGCATCTAAGGAAGACCCACGTACAGGATGCATGGTGGCATGCTTTGATTATATCAAGGCCAAGCGGCCAGAAGCAGCATTGGTGGAGCAGGTCCCACATGTGGTTCGCAACAAGAAGCTGAAAAGGTCCATCTATGACAAGTGGATCACAACGTCCCTGGACTTAAATTTTAAACATTGGCATGGGTAGTAAGTATCTAACCCCTCAGGAACCATTTTATTAGTCTGAGGCTCAAGGGGATCAAAGAAGCTGATGGTACACCATACTATGACATCCATCCTGCAATTCTCAATGCGGCTGAGTCTGGTCTTTTAAGAAGGGTTTCTTGGTTGTGGTGTGAAACCATGAACTAATTAGTTGCTTGTTGTGTTCAACTTTCAACCCAGGACTTTGGAATGGCCCAATCACGCCGACGATTGTTTCTGGTGGCGCTCAGGAAGAAGAACAAGAAGAAACTTGGTGTCAACAAACAGATCAACAGATCTTTTTTGAAAACTGTTGAATCAAGGAAGTCATTCAAGTGGCCAAAGTTTTCATCCAACCGAACTTCATTTCGATCGCTCTTATGTCGAACCTTTGGAAAGAAGAATGCCCGCAGTCTCCAGGCTAAACTCTTATTGCAAATCCAGGCTTGTTGTGAATTCTTTGCCCCAAGTTTAATTTAGGTGCCTAGCTTGATTCAGGTGCCCTTTCAAAGCATGCATCCAAAATGCTCAAGATTGGTGAGCGGAGGATTGCCAAGTTGGGCGGTGATCCTAAGAAGCAAGTGTGGTCTTTAACTTAGTTGGTCAACCAATGACAAGAAGTCCACCTTGTGAACAATAATTGTTTGGGACTACCAACTGTCTTTCAATCTCCTATTGTGTCTTACTTGAGGCTGGTGGACATTGGTGCATCGGTGAAGTTCCAGTGCAAGCCCAAAAGGGACATTGCTCCATGTCTCACGAGGACGAGGGCGAGTTCAGGTGGATTCTGGCTCACCCGTTTGGAGCGTCCCTTGAATGCTGTAGCTCCCTGGCCTGCCACTTCATTTTGTCATTTTGCTTAAGCCCAACGCACCTCTTGTTCATCCACAGGTGATTTATTGGATGTCTTTCATTTTGCATGTTGAAAACTTAAGGAGTGCCTTCGGCTCATGGGTCTGCCGGATGACTTGGCGGCGTGCGCCAAAGAGATGGACATCTCTTCTGCGAAACTTGGTTGGCTTTGAGTTCAAGTTGCTTGTCACGTTCAATTTGCCAATATTGGCCACTGATTGAATGTCAGTTGAGGAAGCTGATGGGTGCTTGTGGCAACGCGTGGCCGGTGGCATTGGTGAGCAAGATCGTTGAGGGGATCCAGGATGCGATGGGGTGGCCAAAGGGCCAGTGATGATTTGATGGAAGTATGATGGAAAATGGGTGTGCTGAGATTTGAAAGGGCACCTGCTCCAACATCCACCCTTCCCACAGACCCTGTGAAACGAAGTCCCATCTCTCTTGAATCTTGGCTGCCAGGCGGTGCCGCCAGCAGCGCCGCAGTGGCTCTTGCTGTGGCTGCTGCTGCCGCGGCTGTCGTCGTGGTGGTGGTGGCTGGGGTGGGGTTTTCCCCAGTATTTTTTCTCCATCAACTATTTTACTACCATAACAACGCCTAAGTATATATATTATATATATGTTTGTTTGTTTGTATAAAATAGAAACGCAACGAGTGAAGCAGCACATCCTGCAAATTGATGGTACATGTACCTACGTATGCGTGGCTATTGGGCACACGAAAGCCGATAAACCGTGGAAGTCCCAAACGTTCATTGGGAATCTCTGTCCTCGTCAGAGTTTTCGGGACGATGATTTGAATGATTGTGAATGACATCTTGCGATTTATTAATGTCAAGAGATGTCAAGAGATGTCAAGAGATGGCAAGAGCAACCACCAAGATTTGAGCCATAGTGGGCTCTTCTCTGTTCTGCATGAACCTTGTGTCTGCACTCAAACACCTTAATTAGATCTGTCTGTATCAGCATTCTACAGGTCTCGCATGTGCGAACCAAGCGACGGACAAGAGAGAAGCTTGCCTTGGATCCGAGCCGAGCCGGGTCCCGTGAAACTTTTGCCGAGGAGTCACAAGTTTCTCGCGGGGTGCTGGAAGAGATCTCATGAGGTCAGTTGGTCTGTATATATAGAGAATCAAGAATCCCCATACAAACATCATACCCTGAAAGTACACGAGATCGCACTACCTTGAGTCTCCAAGGACCTCTTTTAATGTGTCTTTGTTTTGGGTCTAATATTGTTGTGTTTTTGCTCGAAAAAAAAACACGTTTTCAGAGATGAGGACTCAAAAAAAGGTACAGAGTGAATCTTCATCCGGACGCGTCCGGTGCGGACGCTTAAAGACGCCTTTTGGACGAAAAAAGGTCTCAGGACACTGCCTAAGGAGGATCTGACAGGGCACAAACAAAAAAGGAACATTTCGTGACATATGCAAAAAAGAGTGCTTTCTTTCAAAAACCTCTGTTTCTTGGAAAGGCACAATTAAATGGTCATTGGAGACTCAAGGTAGATCTTTTGGATTCTTTGGGGTTGCGGGTTGCGCAGCTATTTCTACCATGTTCGAGCGATCGTAAACATGTGAACTCCCTTAATTCTGGGACTCACCGTGCTCACGAATCTCTAAGCGTGGATGGGTTTCCAACCAGTTTGCTTGACCAGCGCTTGACCAGCGCTTCTGGGAAAGCCGCCGTCCGGAAGGGTCCGAGATGGACGGACGTCAGTCCGCTTCCGGCGACCTGCGACCTGGTGCCGAAATCGGTGTCGCCGTGTTGACAAGAACCTTGAAGATCAATTTCGGGGACCAAGAAGATCCAACTCCATGACCCCCTACTTACGTGGGCCCTTACTGCATGGGACTGGACTACTTACGTTGCCCGTTGACCCTCAAAACATCTGAAAAACCCACCCGGAGTGACGCCCCATGGCTTGGCCCCTGGATGCCGGTCCTGCAACCACTCTCGCCCCGCGAAGCAATCGGTCCCCTCCACCGGAATTCACTTCTCGCTCGGCTGCAGCGAAGCATCTCCGCCCTTCCGCAGCATCTCCTCCACCTCTTCACGCACCGCGTCCAGGCGCTCCCGGAGCAAACCATCTTCGTCGCTGGTTGCGGCGAAACCATCTGCGCCTCAGTGTCCAGCTGAAGGGACGGCAGCAGCAGCGCCTTCAGCGCCCAGCTGAAGGCTGCGACCCAGCTAGGAGGTCGACTCACCTTGTTACCCAGCTGGGAGGTCGACTCACGACTTATACGAACCCAAAAAACGTCACATCTGGGCATCATGTGGCCTTTGTTCCAGGTCCCCCGGGGTCTCCAGGTCTCCCCCCAACCGTTCGGCGACACATCCGTGGCCGCCCACAACCATCCAAGACCAAGGTCGGCCTCTTCAGTGGTGGTTTCAGGGGTAGACTAGTACAGACTCTGAATTTAACATCTCCCCATGATTTGGATGGTAAAAACGATCTTCATATTGGTGGCTTGAAATATCATCAAGAGTCTAAACTAGTCTACAACTGCATTGTGGGGAGTAAAAATAAAAACTCAGACCAGCAGTCACATGTCGGGGTGCCTATTGGAGGATAGGGGTGCCCAGCTACTTCACTCACTCAGGAACTAAAAACCACCCCTGTGTGACTCCTGGGAGTGTCACTATTATACATTAAGCATCACACCCCAGTGGCTCAGATGTTCTTCGAGGTCCTCCTTGTAGCGCTTCCGCTTCCGATCCTCTACCAAGGGCCACTCGGCCGCGGCCGCCGCGCCGCCGCAGGGCAGGTAGCCTCGATTGCGGACGGAAGCTGAACTGGTGGGGTGGCTGAAGGGTGGTGGAATTCTCCAAATCACCGAAGAAGTGCAGAAAAATGGAAGATGTTCAAGGGATTTGCAATCTTCTAGGTGCAGTGGACACGGTTTTTGTCCCTTGCTGTGGGGGTGAGGCCGGAGTACTGTAACTGGAAGTAATTGCATAGTTAATCGTCACCGTTTTGCCAGTTTTCAAAAGCATTGTCTGGCAAAGCCTAAAGAACGTTTTTGCATCAGTCCAGGAGTCCAATCCCACCTTGATTCCCAAAAACCCATGAAATGTTTAGGGATATCTGAGGGTTGCCTCCCAAAATTCAGCGTCTATCTGTCGAGTCACCCAAAAGCAGCTTCCAACACAAGGCGCGTACTGCCGCTTGCGGCGCTGCTTGCGCATCGCTCCAGGTGCAGAGCGCCCGCACCAAATCAAGACCTGGTCCAGTTCGATCTATTTCGACCTATTTCCAGCGCATTTCGCTGGGTTCGGTTCCGCGGATGGTCTGTCGATTTTGCTTGTTTTTCCGCCTCTGAGATATTGTAGTGCAGGTTACAGGTTGAAGATGGATGGATGTTGTACTGAATCAGATCAGCAGTTTTGACCACTGCGATCTTCGGAGAAAAGGATGGCAGTTTGCTCGTCCAACGTCCCACCCCGGGAGCGAGGCAGCGAGACTCCGACACATCCCAAGGCCAACCGCGGAAATACCACGAACCAACTGCAATGAATCAATGGCCCCACATGAAAGAGGTGTCTGAATCCCCCCAAAAAAAAGGACTATAGTATATGACTATATATATATATACAAATATACACCAGCACCTTCCAACAGGTCTCCGAAATGGGTTGGGAAGGGCCCGAAGACAGGTTTCAATTGGTGACCTGTGAAGTCGGTGCTGGTATACAACAAATCCTTTCACCAAAAGAATGAGATCAAGAGTCGGTACCCTCTTCTCCGTTCGTGCTTCTCCCCCGCGCCTCCATTCTTCACCTCATTCAGCCACTCCTCCTCTGATCTGCGCAGCCGCAGCTCCTTCAACCCGAGGCGTCCCACTTCGCCCGACAAATGCGGCGTCCGTGCCAGGAGATCCTCACCCGAGGCGGTCGACGACGTCTGGACAGCCGTTTTCGCCGTTTTCGTCGTTTTCGTCGACCCGTTTTGGGGAAGCTTCAACAGCCGTGAGCCGGGTCCGTGGGCGAGTGAGCCGGGTCCGTGGGCTACAGCCCTTCCGACTCTCCTTCTGCTCTTCTTCGTCTTCTTCTCTTCTCTTCTCTTCTCTTCAGGTTCCAGTGGCAATCAAGGCCTAGTGTTATAAAACTCTTTCATATGGTAAGGCCAGAATCCTTGATTAAAAAAACAAATCAAAACAACAAAATAAATGCAACAAAGTCATGAAAAAAAAGTCAAAAAAAGTCAACCATAGACCACAGCTCGAAAAAGTCAAAAAAGAAAGTCATTAAAACATGTCGAACAAGTAAACAATAAACATAAAAGGCAAAAAAAGTCAACCACTCGAAAAAGTCAAAAAAGTCGAAAAAAGTCGGATCGGGCAAATTGACTTTGTTTGACTTTCTGAAACTTTCAGATTTGTTTTTTTTGACTTTGACTTTTGGGATTGAATTGTTTTGACTTTTTGACTGTTTTAAATTTTTGAAAACAGGCTCTCTCCAATGAATGCCTAGTGAACTATAAGTGTGGGCTGGTGTAGAGCGCCTCCCATGATCTGGGCTGAGCACAATCCTTGTTCCACAAACGGCCTTGCGGCCTTGCTCGTCCCCAAAACCCACCCAAACATGGGTGATGACTCATGGTTTGAAAACAAAACCCCGAAGCAATCAAATTGGATGAGCATGCATGCAATTCCTTTTCACATCTTTCTACCCGAATGTCTTAGGGTGTATCTCTAACAAGATACTCAATCACACCCAAGATACTCTGGTTGACTCTGCCTTTTTCGTGTCCCACCGCTCAAGGGGGTCACTGGAGGTTGTTCTGTTCATGGTCGACTAGGGATGCCTCTGAGTCTGTTTACTGGCCATCAACCCTCCATGGCGCTGTACACGAATGAAATCTGCTGCAACCAACTACCAGCACCCGACTTCACAGGTCGTCTGCATCGGTCACTTCTAAGTCTCCAGCTACCAATTACCGGACCTTCGGAGACCTGGTACAGGTCTTTTCTGCTTCTCCACATTTCGGCTGCATCAAAACACTCTTCTCTGCCAAGCCTCTACTGCCTCCTCCGTGGGCACTTGATACTTCACTGCCAGCTGTGCCCAGAGCTCCGCGACTTCCTGAGGCGATCGCCCATAGCGTTCCACCAGCGCGTTCACCGACGACAGCTTCGACGGGCTTCCTCGGAGCGGAGTGGACAGCGCCCGTGGCGAAGCAAAAGGATCGGTGAAACCCGAAGTCAGAGGGTTTAATTGATCTTCAGGTCTTCGGAAAATCACACTGTGAAGAAGTGACCACAAAAGTCATAGAAAACACACACAAAGTATACTTATACACCAAAACGAAGACCTAAAACCGTCTTCGTGTGGCCCAAAAACGGTTTGAGCCATCGAAAAAGCATTTATATAATCCCAAGACGGTCTCCGGGCAAGGTTCCTGGCCCACCTTGGCAAAATCCGTGATCGTTTCAGCCAGTGCTGCTAATAAAAACCACAGGAAGTTAAGAAAAGGAAGTTCAAGTTGTCTTTGTATGTCTTTGTGTTGTTTTTGGGGGGTTTGGTTGTTGCCTACACAACTCCTGTCAAGCCTCTGAGCTGGTAAAAGGCCACCAGGCTCGCTCGCAAGGAGCGCTCCTCGCATCAGACCGACCAGCGAATCATCCGGAGCATCCGGACCTACACTCCCTGGGAACTGAACATGGAAGTTGACGTCATGGCCTCTTGGAATGACCCTTTTCCTCTACAAACAGGGTAGTTTTCCACGTAACCATGCGAGTTTTAAGAGTAAGCCTGAACCTGGAGCGACACGCTAAGCCTCCAAAAGCGAAGTTGAAATCTATGACATCTACCTGGACCATCCGCTCCGCATGGGTGTCCTGAGCTGGAGATCCTGGTCTCCGGGGTTGCGCACAAAAAGTGCCGGGTCACACAGATGGTCCCAGTTTCTTTTGGACTGGGTATATCCCAAACACCCGGGGCGCAGTGGATGATGGTTAGGTTGCAGGACATCTCTAAATGTGAGTTTACTGACTGTTACAGGCAATAGGACACCCCAAAACAATACCCAACAAGAATATACAAGAATACTGTAACCTTTGTGCACTGCCCAAGTCGTCTCAAAATCGCCCAAGCCAATGTTGATCCAAGAGCAAATGAACGACGCAAACTTCTTGCCCCCTTTGGGGATTGGTATTGGGAACAGTTCCTTCAGCACTGAAGAACCTCTCTCTCTCTCTCCTTCATCTGGAAGTAGATGGATCTGGAAATGGATGACCTCCAATTTCTCTTAAAACATCTTAAAACAGAAGAGTGACACCAAAAAAAACAACATCTTCTCCCCCAAAACCGTCCCTAAGCCCGGAGCGGCAGCTCCTCAGCGGTGAACTCTGCCGGCACGTTGGAGTGCACGGAGGACGCAGGTCCGGGCCCGCTCAGGTCCTGGGGGAATTTGGGTCGCTCGTTCTAGGGGGAGGTGATTTGGGGTCGCCATAAAGAGGATGGTTAAGGAGGGTTGTTGTATATAGTGTAAAATCTTAGGAGGGGTTGTTCGGTAGCCACCATGATATTTAAAAAAAATGGTGGATGGAATACTAGGGACATGTTTACAAGTTTCTTTGATGCAAGACCCTTTTTTTGCGGTCTGAGGGAGAGTATCCACTAGCTTCTTCAAAGCAAATCGAATGAAGGAATTGCAGGAAGCCCTGTACAAGTTCACTTTGGAGTTGGAGGGCCGGATGATCTAAATTGATGCGTCCTGATCATGAAACTCCAACTTGGAAGAAACGACTCAAAAAAAAACCACCCGGGGTGGATGAAGAGCATTCTTGATGACCACTTTCAAACTGATACACCAAGTATGTTGATACACCAAGTATTGTGATCTATATAGGCTCATTCATTCAGGCGTTCCCTAGACATTCAAGCATGAAGCAACTTGGTCGAAGAGCCTGGCGCGATCATCAAAACCACCTGTGGAGCAAACACCAACTAAATTACAGTAATGTAGACTCTTGATTAATACACGCCCCCCAATTTGAATTGAAAACCCTCTTCAAAGGGGTGGTGTATTCATTAAGAGCCTACATTACCGTAGCTAGCTGTTGTGACACATCCCACAACTCCATGGAGGCCAGCTGTGCAGGAGTTAGTTAGTCAGCCGCTCATACAGGACCAAGAACCGGTTAGTCAGCCCGTCTAGAGGCTTGAGGTCTATAGAAATTACTTCGGAGAACGCTCATTTTCAGGCATCCAAAGAAAACTTGACACCTTTTTATTGTTTCGGGTCTTGTCCAGGCTTCAATCTCTCACTAAGCCTGCCAAGCAGCCTCATGGCTTTTTAGAATTGACTACAGTATACCGTATACCTCAAATATACAATACAACCCGAGGACCAGAAGAGGTTTTCCTATGGTTCCTTTCGGCGATGGCCTCAGGGTGTACCCTATTTATATAGCCCATACCGATTGACGGCCTCTCCTTCTCGTCATGCTCAAGATCGGCCAATAGCTGAGCAAAGAAGGCATCATTCTCACTCTCGCCCGTGGCCATAGCACGAGCTTGACTGAGTGCTTCTCCCAAAATTAATGAAGTCAAGTGGACGAAGTGATGATTCATTGATAAACCATTTGGACACCTTTTTTTGGAAGGAACTCATTCAGTCGACCAAACACACAGTAGAAGTCGGACACTTGCACATTGATAGGCAGTGATTCTTTGCTTATGCTCCGTTCACTGCATTTCGGCCATCAAGCCTGAATGTAGGTCAATTCTGAGCGCATGGTTCACTGTCCAAGTCCATGCCATGAAAGCAGTCGGCGCTTGGTGTGGATCCTAAAACACTACAGCCATCAGTGGCACACCATGCCCACTGCAATTTTTTGGCATCTTGTGTTGATCTCAGAAAATGTCCAACCTATAGGAACTCAATCACGAATAGAACTCTTTGTTGGCGTGCACTTGTTATGTCTTACGGAGGTCTGTCTTCCAATTTCGGCCGCAAACAAACATCCAGTTCCATGGGCAGATGGCCCGACCGGTTCTTGGATTCAAAGCAACTGGCGGCGCGGCGAGGTCATGGGCCCGTGCTGGGCGAGCTGATTTCAGCCATCCCCCACTTGGGTGAACCCTTCTCAAACAGGGAGCAGGGATGTAAAACGAATCATGTCCAAAAGCGCCGCCCAGTTTGCTTGCTCCAACTCAAGCAGTGTGGCCATTTCTTTGGTTGCTCAAACTGGTCGCAAGCCTGTCTAGGCGCAACAAAACTGCTGTGGAAGAAGGTCTGCCACCTCCCAACATTACACTCCTTGAGATCATCATGGTTACGTGGATGGCACCACCAGTTCGTAGAGGAACAATGGTCTTTAAGGTGTCATCCCTTCCCTTCCATGATTATTTCAGGGAGTGTAACCCAAAACTCCTGGGTAAACCATGGGTAAGCCATTGATGTATAGAATGTCTCTGTGACCCCTCAAGTTCGGGACCCCCCGTCCATCCCCATCCATGTTTGACCGGACGACATCGACGGGTCTTTAAGCGTTAAGTATGGCCTATGCCGTGAACCAAACCGGAAAGACACCGTAATCCAAAACAAATGGCGCTTTGAGGGTTCCAAACATGTACTCAAAAATGGACGGGGAAGTCTACGCCCTTTGGACGCCGAAAGACGCCCTTTGGCCTTTCCATGTCCGCCGGTTTCTGTTTGGTTTCTACCGATGTCCGCCTGCTCACAACCAAAAACACCGGAAACCACGCCGTCTTTCGGCATGTTTTTTCTTAGGCAGTGATGTATGCCGTTGTGAAGATCCGAGTATATCTCTTGTGAAGTCGCTCGAGGCACGTGAATGGTTGTTTGGTAAAGACCATTCTATGGTCGACCCCAAATAGATCAAGTTCGAGGAAAATAAAAAGCAAACCTCCTAGGCCTCGCCATGAAAAATGATGAAACATCCTCCGTGCCCCGGTCGACCTGTTGGAATCCCGTTGGGTCGGCGTCTCCTTGGGCGGCAGCTGCTCGTTGCGGAGAACGGCCACCTGGGGACACGTGACGCGGTTCGGTGTCGAAGAGACAAAGACCACGGTCACTGACACGAAGTGTTCTTCTATGGTGTTCTTGACAAAAAAAGGAGCTGGCAAATCACCACTGATGTGTTAATAATGTGTTAATGTGTGTTCCATAGGGGGCGGTTTGTGGGTTCATGTCAAGAACGAGTGTTGGGTACCATGTGAGCTCCACCACGTGGTTCGCAGCTCACGGCCAGTCACAGGTTAGACTGAGTTGGTGCCCTCACCTCAATCCGATCCCCACTGGTCTAGCTGGATCCCCCGAATTTGGAGTTCGAGAAACGCATCCACCAGTGTCGTTGACCACAAAGAACAACAACTTCAAACAACTCGCAGCCTGTAAACACCCTCCAACCATCCAACCAAAGCCCTTCACTTCTGAAGACCCACTCCGACCCACTCCGACGCCACCAGACCACCCCAGGCGAATCCCAGCAACGCGCCAAGGGGCGCAACGGTAGCCCTCCAAGTTCCTGAGGAAGGCCTCTTCGGCCGCCTGGTCGAACTCCTGCGGTGCTGATCTGTAAGCGTCGACTACAGCGTTCGTCAGACCGCCGCGTCTGCGTCGTCTACGCTGGCGTCTGCGCCAAAAAAAAGAACATGGTTGACATTCGAGGGATCGGAAGTACCATAGCTGGAAAGCTTGGTGTTCAAAAACCTCCTATCAATGAAAAGAAAGATCAATCCGAGGTCTGAAATGGCCTTTTCAGGGCAAGGTTTTATGGCACCACCACGACCATCGTTTCATACCCTAAGCTTGGCTCTCACATTCTAGACCATCCACCCAGTGGATCCAGTTGGGAAGGTAAGCAGGGGTTTCTCTTTCACTGAAGGCCTCTCCATCGGCCGACCGGCGCGACCGGCGCCTGGAGGCAGGCGAGGTCAGGCTGCAGTCGTTGCACCATCTCGGCGGCCCGCTGCAGCCCTGGTGGAGGCGAAGGGTGGAGACCAATGGAAAGAACAAATCAATCATCCTGCTGTGTTGTCCCGGGGGTTCACCGGGGCATGCCCCGATTTGATCAGGAATGCCAAAGTCTCGCCTGTGCAAGTCGCATTCACAAGGACCCCCTGTTGACTCCGATATCAATCTAACGATCTAGAGGGGAAGGTAAAGACCACGCAATCATTCTTCCAGAACGCCGTTTCTTTTTGCAGTCCGAAGTCTTTCAGGGATCCGACGCAGGGCTTTGGGACCAAGACCATAAGTGCATCGATATCCCCATGAACACCAAAGCCACAAAGGCCTACACGTGTCTTACGTCGTGTCTTTCTTGGTGCTTGGCGCAGCGCACGTGTCTCTCGAGGCCTAAAAGGATTGCGCCGAAGGGGCATCAGCGAAAGGACGTGTCAAGCCAATCATATTAGAGAGGTATGACCCGTCCAATGTTGTCAAAACATTAAGGGGCTTCTGGCGCTCTAAACAGTTCAAAAGATTCAAGATATACCATGATATACCCTCTACCAGGACCTTCCAAGAGGTGTCTGTAAATAGCCTCTGTCTGAGGTGTCTGGAGGTGTCCAAAAACCACTTCTCGGCCGAACCCCCCTCCATTCGATCCCAAGCGGCTGTCAATGGACCACACACCCGGTCGGCTGCGCAGCAACCTGGCAAGGGTGGAACCCACAAGTGATTTGTGGAGAAGCTGACTCCAACCATTCTGAAGCCTACATCCTCCAATACGGAAGAAGAAGGATGAAGATCTTCAAATACGTGCTTCCTCCCCTGAACACCACCCAGCCCCTTGGTTTCTCGCGTGTACCAAAACGAGAGGGAAGTGTGAGCGTGTTAGCGTGAAGGAGTTGAGTGCCTTTTCGATTCAAAGGACCTGGGTCACCAGAAAACACCAGGGTCACCAGGACCCACTGTGGTCCTGCAGTGGTCAATGGAGACCCTGTTATCTGTAACCAGTGACCACTATAATGGGTGTAAACCACCTGTAACCATCTGGTAAAACATGGTAAAACCATCTGTAAACCATCTGTAGCAGCGAAGGCAAACCAGTTTGGCGGCGCTTGTATCGCTCCAACGTTCCTGGAACCCTGCAGAAGTGGATGGCCCTTACCCAGACGATGTTGCTCAAACAGACGGGTTTCAGTTTCTCCACTTCCGTTTTTCGGCCAAAAGATATGGATGGGCTCACCTGTTGCCGGCCTCTGCGCACCGAAGCTGTGGAGCACGTTGTACGTGAGCACCGAGAAGCGCATGGCGGAAGGTGGCCGCGGAGGCGTTCCACATGGGGCTGTTGGAAGATCGACACCAGGGACCTGAATTCGTCTTCCCCTTGGGAGGTCCCTGACAATGGAGTCGTCACTGTAGTCTATCGCGAATGGTGAGTGAAAAGGACAGGAAAGGGAGCTGGGTGGACTTATTCAAAAGGCATCTTGTTTTGCTTGGTGTTTCTTATCTATCGAAAGAAAAAGAGAGAGCTGTTTGTGATATGCGATACGCTGAGGTTGGTTTGGTCAATGGTGATTGAACTCACATGAATCCTAATTCCCATGTTTGGTGGATTCAGGCATTCCCATCATTCCCTCTTCTCCACCAAACATGGGCTACTTGGGATGCTGCTCAAATTGATGGCTCGCGCTCCATGCCCCATGCCCATCAAAAGGCTGTAGACTACAGCAAAGGTCATCAACAAAACAAATGCTCAAACAATTCAGGTGTGTCTCAGAAGGAACGGCCCAAATGTGGCAGTCGGTTCTCTCTACTTCCTGGATGGCTAGAACAATATTATTTGAGCAGAATAGCAGACCTATGTGCCATCGAAGACCTGCGGGCTGCTCGTGCGCGCTGCTCTCATGCCCTCGCCTTTCAGAATGGTCCGGTTGCTGGAGCCCAAATGGGTGTGTATTAAAAGAGGGAGACCGAACCGCCGGCAACGACCCCCCACTGGGAGGTTCGGGAAATAGACCATAGGAGCCCTAACCAGTTAGGTGCCGAAGCATCACACACCTAGGGCCCTCCGCAGGGACGGAACTCAATGCGCTGAAGACGAACGCTGAAGACGAAGGACGGGAGACGGGAGGAGATGTTCGTCCAACCCAGTGGCCCAGTCGGATGAGCCGAAAAAACATGACTGCTATCATATGCTATAATCATGATCTAACTCACCAACTTCACTGTGGCACTAATTACTGTGGTATCTATATATACTTTGACCATGGATTAGTGTTAGATCGTCGTCGGGTGGATACAATCGCCAGGGTGGCCCAAGTAGACCCCGCAAGTAGATCATTCCGATAAAATCCCAACGACCACGCCCAACGCCATCGACAACTACTGGGCACACTGCTGACTGACTGACTGACTGACTGACTGACTGACTCCAGCCTGTTGATCCGAAAAAAAGAATGGCCTCACCAACCAAAAGCTCCGCCGAAACGAATTCTTCGCTTTCTGGAAGAACCGCGGATGTGGTTCCTCCGCTGCCCTCGTCGACGACTCTCCGGGCTCCAGACAAGGAGTCTTCTGGCTCCAAGGGCACCTCAGTCTGGTTGCCCCTCAGGCAGGTGTTCCCTGAAGATCCCAAGAAAAGTTGGTTGAAAAAGAACGACAGGTAAAGTATGGTGAAGTACGTGGTGAAAACCTGGAAACATAGCTGTTCATGTGAAACGTGGGGAAACTGATCCCCTCATAAAAGGTTAAAGGCTAAAGGATGTTAAAGGTTATCCACTTTTCCTGGGTAGGTGGAGAAAAAGAAAATGCTTCACCCGAAAGCGAAGTTAGCAACCCAAGCACCAGCAACTTGACAAGTTGAGTAGCCCAACCCAAGTGCCAACACTCCATCACACTCCAAATTATTGCAAATCATGGAATCAGCAGCTCTATATTCAAAATGGCCCACACCAGTGGCACCCATCCACCACTCTCAACTTGAACATTCTTTCACGCGCAAGAATTCCACCGAAACGGTGCCGGTGCCTCTTCAACCCGACATGCGAACTCCGAAGCATCCCAAACACGACTTAGTGGGACTGCAAAAAAACATGTCCGATCCGTTTTTTCTTTTGAAAGGAGGTCGATGGGGCGCCCCATTCAAAATAAATCTATGCCAGTCCCAGCCAGATCATGTGATCCTATGTGATCCTCTGTGATCCCGGTCCTCACATCTCCTGAACATCTGCGCTCTGTGTCGCATGCGTCGCGACTAAATGCTCTCTAGACACATCTATACCCCCCATCTGCGGGCTCCGGTCGTACCGAGTTACGAAACGAAGCAACGCTACGGTATGACTGGCCCCTCCACACGCCCCCGGACCCCCAGTCCCATTGAACCGAAACGAAGGTGCTTGGATTGGAGCTCATTGGGCCCCCCCAGGACCGACAACAGGACCCTCGACGATGGACAGCCGACGAGACAGGCTGTGACGAAAAGGCACGGACGAAAGCCTCCGGTCGGTGCGAGGCTTTGATGGAGTAGACCGTCTCGATACAAGGATGGAGTGGGTCAGTGCCAGACCACATGGTACGTACCATATCCCGTCTATATACCGTCCATGATACCTGATGCATGGTACAAAAGGAGGGGCATCCCCTTCATCCAACCTCCACCAAGCAAGATGAAAAACAAGGCAGACCGACCCATGGCCAATCAGTGTGAGGAACCCATGGCATTCTCAGCGTTGTCGGTATAAGATGCCAGGCCCTGAGGACGGAAGGGCTGACACCCGAGAAGAGTGAGCTTACGTTGAAAGACCTGCGGATGACAATGGTTGGGCATGGAATGGCAGGGACCCTTGGAAAAACGAAGCAGTCAGGTTTGACATGGTTTAACAGACGAAGTGTTTCTGGCAATAGATATAGATCATTATAGATCTATAGTCTTTAAATTGAGATGTTGTCTTGCAGCATCCCCATCCCGTCCTCGTCAGGTGCCTATTTCACACCCCCAATGTGTCTATACCAGTCACATGGAGGCCCGGGTGGTGTGCCTCGTCCCATCGGGCCGTGGAGAGAAAAAAGGGGCACCCCGACTTCCTTCATTCAACACCACGACATGGAACTGCGGGTAGTGAGCATTTCTTGTGCGGCTGACCGTTGACTTTCATCGTTGATACATGGACAGTCCGTTGCTGACCCTTGTACTGTTGACTGATCTCCACTGCCTCCTTTGAATGCAAAACGCTTTAAATATCTTTAAATTCCATATCCGGAACTTCACCAAAAAAGCACAACTGCAAACCTTGCAGCGTTTTAGGACCCATGACCGCCACTGCTGACCGCTTTTGGTCATGACCTTGGTGAGCACGCGCCGAGCACGTGCGCCGCCACTCGGTGCCCCCGGCAGAGAGGTACGAGAGACCTCCAATGGCTCCTAAACCTTGGTGGATGGTCCGAGGTCGAAATCCGATTTCGGCATGGAAGCGAACAAGGAAGTGGGTTTCCAACGCGGAAAACACCCTGGTGGACCGCACATGAAAGAGATTCAGTCTGAAAGGGATATCAACCTTCCATGGTTTTCTAGGTGAGGCTTTGACCCACTGACCGCCCGCAGGTCGATACCGCCAAAGGTCGGTCGAGGTGCCCAGGGGTCGTCGGTCGGTCTCCAGAGCCACCCTCTTGGACGGTCCATGGTGGGTGGCCCATGGTGGCCCCTTCTTGTTCCGAGCACCAAAAGCCTCCCTGGACCCCAGTCGGGGTGGTTCATGGACACCCCCTTGACCTCTTTTCGGGGCTATGAATGGACACCCGGAATCCGTAGTGCTGGTCATTGACTCATGTTGTGCAGAAAGGTTGTGTCATCGAGCTTTGCTTGCTCTGCTCGCTCTGCTCGCAGGCCGCCCGTTGGGTTTGTACAAATTGTGAGTCATTCATAGTCCTTCTACCCTCCAATCAAGCTCCACCCTATAGTAGCGATGGCCTCCACCCTAGTAGCGATGGCCTCCACCCTAGTAGCAGTGGCCTCCAATCAGGTTGCCTGCCCTTAACCAATATGTTCGGCTCAGCTCTGGCCTCCACCGTCACTTCACCTCAGGAAAACCATCTTCTCCCAGCGTTCTCACCACCCACAAGCCCCCTTCAACCGTCGTTTTCGCTCGCTGCTCGCTCGCTGCGGTGAGCACTGAGGATCCAAGCCAAAGCTAAAGGCCACATTCACTCCATATCTGATGAGGTCTGAACAAGAAAAGTGCGGAATGAGCAGCTATCGCTTTCGCAGCTGGTGGATCAGGACTGGACACAGCAGCTTGCTGAGAAAGACGACTGTGAAAAAGAATTCATGAGGGATCACCGAAAATCTCTGGCCGCACCCCAGTTTCAGTGCAGTAAGATTGGTTTCAGTGTAGCAAGGCATATCAAAGTACACCTACTGAACATCCTGGAAAGAACTACAAAGCATTATGAAATTCTCCAGCATATGCCAGGGAACTTCGTCGGATGCTTGATAACTCCAATCTTCGAGGCAGACCAACGCGCTGTCCACAGACTTCGTGGACAACACAAAGTGGTCGGTGGTCTGTGGTCGTTTGAGAATGAGCATCCCTTCCACCAATCGACCCCATATGGTTTCCCTTGGTCGTCTGATTTTGCACCCATCACTGGTCTCCTCCCAAAGAACCAAAGAAACTAAAATACAAACAAAAACTACTATTAATAAGGGCATTGCTACTAGTAACAAGAAGCTACTAATTAGTAGCGATGCAAAAAAAGAAATAGACGAAGGAAAAACAAACGCCTCTCCCAGTCATCGACTCCCAAATCAAGAGACGTCCCACTCATCCCACTCCCCGTCGACGTCGCGCTCCGCACATGACCATGGAGAAGCCGGTGCCCAAGCCACCGAACCTCGAAGACCGGAACCGGCGGAACCGGCCCTGGTACCAGGCCAGGGGCCAGCGGTAGTACCGCCCTTCTAAAATAGAGGTGTCATGGCGTTCTCGAGGTCTTCGGCTCTTGAAGGACATCTCTTCTGGTCCGACGCGTTGGTGTGGATGCGGAGGTGACACCATGACACCGTTCCGGAGTGGAGAGAACATCAAAAAGCGCTCCCCGAAAAGAAAGGGGAAATGGACATACCAATACAATATAGTTAATATGGAAGTCGCCCATGCTGAATACTAGTGGAAGTGACTATAGTACGAATAATTAGTACTATAATAGTATATATATATAGTCATAGTCCATACACCATGTTCAATTCACGTCCGATGTCACTCGAACCCGGATGGCACATACTGCTCGACCTTGTGGGAGAGCGCCAGCGGATCTGGAGCGGCGCCCTTCTGTTCGACGTCCAGGGACGTCCGATTTGACCGGCTGTTCATTGGACCTTCGGTGAAGACTGAACATAGCGTTAACTGAAGGCTGTTCATAGGTCTGTTCATAGGTCTGGCTGTTCACCAATGTGGTGAAATGATCATTTCAAGACCTTCGGTGTGGTGAAGACCTAAGACCTTGGTGAAGACCTTTTTGGGTGGCCCAGTCTCTGGGATTTGGGTCACAAATGGTCACAATGTCGTAGTCTGACTCGATTTGATCGATTGATGCACCCAAAGCTTCCAGCTTCAAAGGAGCAAGGGGATATCCTGAGATACATCCCCAGCCCAACAACCTGAAATACATGCCCCACCGAAAAATTACGGTCATGCCATTGGAGCAGGTGGTAAGTTTGGGATCTCTTGTGACCGCTATCTACAGCCTTACCTAGATTGGGCACCCCTGCGCTGCGGTGAAGGCGAACATGCGAATCTGCGCTGATGGCGACGCGCTCTTGAGGTGGTCCACAGTTGATGCCTATAGACCATAATTGTAGACTAACACCCCCAGGCCATATAATTGTTTTGCAATCCATGTCGAGACAAAAATCCGTCTACATGTTGAAAAGGAACATCTGATCAATCTAGACAAGCAATTCCACCCTGATTTTCCCCTCTTGGACCACTTGGATCGAGGACCGCTTGGACGACATCCAGTGGAACTGTTGCGACCGATCACCGCGACGATCACCGCGAAACCACACCCAGCACGCACCATATGACCATATGTAGGACTGACATATTTACATTAATTGGGATGATTGATTTCAGGGATCAAACGTCTTGGGTGGTTGGCATATAGTCCGGTCACGTCTGGGACAGAGTCTGAAACAGATCAAACCAACAAAAATGCAAACATGTTTGGACTCCCGAGCCCTTTCGATCCCCAACATATTCTGGGGCACCGAAGGAACTTTACACCTGCTCATGTTTTGGTTGGGTCTCCCCTCAATCCCCTCCAGAAAAGTTTGCCGGTTATCCACTTTCTCTGGGCAGCTATGACACATGGCAGTTAAGACTTTAAAGCCAAACATCTTAAAATGTTTGTTCAAACACTCTGCAGGACCCCCCAAAACCACAAGAATTATCTCGTGTACCAATGGGAGTGGGAGGTCAATCGTGCGCACCTGTGGAGCATCGTGCGCACCTCTTCCACCCTTCCACGGGCGTAGCGACCGCGACCCGCGACCCACGACCGCTCCACACGGAGCAACGCACCGTACGACACGACCAACACGGTGACCGGTGACGGAAGTGACGGTCCACCTTGGTATCTTCGTAGTCCTGCAGATGGTGATGCTGACAGAGCGATGCGGAACATACTGGTGAAAAGTGGTGGCGAACGTGACTGGTGAAAAGTGGTGGCTTTTCGTGACAAACACACAAAAATATGCGTGCTGTGGCACATCTCCCTCGATGTACATGTTTGACTTCAAGAGTGCTGACGATTGCTTTCATCACATCCAAGTGCAATTCCAACAGTGGGCGGTGGGTGGCATGCAATCGGCGTCACGCCATAACGCCCTTGGTCTTTTCCAAACACCAGCGCCATATATATGCGTTTGCTTGACAACTGAGGCTAACGAGGCTCCTTGTTCCAATGGGTGGGTGGGACTCCGGGACCGGAGAAAAACCGATGTGAAAGGACTGTGAAAGGACTGTGCTCACTCACCTGAGCTGGGAGGGACTCCCTTCGACTTCCCCACCCGGTCCCACCCGTGACGGCGCATACGCTACGCCACGCTCCTGGCGTCGTTCCTCGGGACCTGAGAGTCGTCCCGAGTCGAAACCGGAAGGTTCGGTGCCAGAACTGGACTTCTATTGGTGGGTACTGTATAGGGTACATATAAGCTGTTTTGGCTAGTCCGGCTAGTCATGCCTAGAATTGCCCAACATGAAGTGATGCCCCCAGGAATCTGGACCCAAACCTCACCTGGCGCCACACCACTGCGTGTGTGCCGTATAAAGCGGTTTGGCCAACGCCATCCGATCACATCCCCTAGACTTCCAACCACCATTAATTGATTGAATGTAGGTGTCTATTTTCCGGACCAACTAAGGATGTCTGCACGACAAAACCAGCTCGGCCACCCATGTTTGTTGGTCTCGGTTTGGTCCACATCCTCTCTCCGATCCATTGCTCTCGTTGTCTTCGTTTCTTCGTTGAAAAGCGAAGCACATGGATGTGGACATCACCGCCAATCATTTTCACCCCGGTATAGAATTCTTGTAGAGGAAAAGGCCAGGAAAAAATCATCGTTTTGAACCAAAAGGCGAGGCAGCCATCCCCTTCAATTTGCTCCACCCCTTTCCCCGAACTCTCCACGACCCTCGGTCGCTGAAACACACACGCTGGACCCCGGGCTTCTTCGCTCGCGGCGAGGCCTCAGGGATTGGGGTTTCCCGGAGTCAGAGACAACCGGGGAAGAACACCTGTTAAGCAACGACACTCCGTGAACCGACTGGGAGGAGGTCGTGCCGTTGAAAACCAGGCAGCCCAGGCAGGTACCTGACCGTCCACCTGCAGCCCCCAGCCGCCGCCCGGACCAACCAAAACCGGCAGATGGTCTGCCTCAGTAGGTGCTTTGATGTTTTTCTTTCACAGAATGTCCAGTTGGCCTATTGAATAGGCACCACCCAATGTAGAGGAAATTCCTAGACTCGCGTCACCCGACCATTTTAAAAATTGTCTTGGACTGCTAGGGCACAAGCTGTCTGGGGTGTTGGACCAAAACAAGCTCGGAGATGGTGGAAAGAAGAGTCTTATAGATCCGTGGGATAGACTGGCGGGTGAAACGTCGATGATGTGTTGAAACGGTGCACATCTTCAATGTGGAAGACCTTTCCGCTGGTCTTAACCTAGAAAAAAAGAACGATTGGGTCATCTACCCCGATCCTTCATCAACTTGCGTCTTCCCACACCCGCACTGAAGACTGATCGACAAATCGCTTGGGATAACCAAAGACTGCCAAAGACTTGCAACACTAACACAGAACAGGCCATGATATCAAAGAAATCCATAGAATTGAAATACCAAAGCTGATGTAATATAATATATAATATATATAATATATTATATATATATATGCTGGCCTGCTTTTTATAGAAGTTGATAAGTTGATTTTGAACAAATATTACTTTCCATGTTCAATCACGAGCTTCCAACCTGACAGCTTCAAACGCTTGCGGCACCCTAGAATCAAACCATCGCTAGCGCTAGTGAGACGCTCGTCGGGGAGTCCTTTGCTGAAAAAACAATACATAATTAAACCATCGCTAGCGCTAGTGAGTGAAAAAGCAATACATAATTAAACCATCGCTAGCGCTAGTGAGACGCTCGTCGGGAGGTCCTTTGCTGAAAAGACATTGCATAAATAACCATCGCTAGCGCTAGTGAGACGCTCGTCGGCGGCCCTTTGCAGAAAGACAATAAATAATTAACCGTCGCTAGCGCCAGTGCTCCTCGAGGGGGGTTTGCACAGAAAAAATAGTTAAAAATATTACCGGCATTTAAGGAAAACACTGATTTAACAGAGTGCGACGGTCGCCCCCTCCTAAATCTCCTAAAACCATCGCTAGCGCCAGTGAGACGCTCAGGGGGGGTCCTGATTTCGCTGGACCTGACTCAAAACACTGTCCTTCGCAGAAAGTTTTTGCGACCGTCGGTACTTAGAGGCTGCTCCGGCGAAGTGAAAACTCCACTAGAACCATCGCTAGCGCTAGTGACTGTTCTAAGAGGTTGCGACGGTCGCAGCCTGGTAGATCACTGTTTTCTTTAAAAGCAGGTAATATTTTTTGGTGATTCTTTCAAGGTTCCACCTGGCACCGACCATCCCCATGATGAAAAGCTTGGAAACCTGCTCCTTCCTGGGAAATCCAAAATGCAGGGTGTGTGTACGGAAAGGGTGTCAGCAAGCACTGCTTCACGAGTACTTCCAAAATACCTTCCAAGAAGCTTTGAAAGGTTTCTAAAGGGTCCACCCTTCCACTAAAATTGAATGGTACGTGAATGAGGCCAGGTTCCACGAAAGTCCTGGGCCTTGGCCCAGTCAGAGTCAGTAGAATAGGATTTGCAAAAACCTTTTCTGTGCTCTGCCCTTCCGTTTGTCCCTGGGAATTCTGGTTGGTGTGGGAACCCTGGGTGGTGTTGGAACAGGTGCGGGACCCGGTGTGGGAACCCTGGGAATCAATATTTTTTGGAAATCAACTTTTCAACTTCTTTAAAAGCAGGTCAGTATGCTATTCAATCTTGAACGGTTTTGGGTCACCCTCAACACCCCACACCCGACTGAGTCCACCTCTGGGCAGCCCAGACCTTCCCTCCTTGGCCTTTCGGCGGCCGACCTTTTGCATGGAGATCAGGTACTCCGCGATGCCTACGGGATCCCATCGACTTCTGCCCGGAAAAAAAAATCGGCCCAAATTCACATGGGCACTGCACTTGCGCGTCAGCGTTCTGGGATGGGTTGCAGTCAACCATCTGCCCATGATGGGGACCCAAAAATATCGCGTCTTCACTGAAACCGGCGACTTCTGGGAGCTTTTACGAGGTAATGTGCATTGATGCAATTGATGGGTCAATGGATGCGAGACGCTGAAAAACGTGTCCGCTCTGATGCAGTCTCCCACCTTCATCTTCGGTTTCATCCTCTACTTCAGCCTGTAGGGCCTGCGAAGAAAACGCCGCCAGTGGCGGGCCAGCAGGGGAAAACGCGGCGATGGTCTTGCGTAGCTCATCTCGCGTAGCTCAATTCTGCAACGATTCGGACCGTACCGTGAACCCGCTTGACCGTCGGCCACACCCAAGCGGCTGAAAAGGTACATAGCTCATCATAGCTGTATGCCCTCCATAAAGAGAGAGAGAGAGAGACATCCGTCTTTTGCCGGGGTTCTTTGAATTGAAACATGACACGACCACATTCCTTTCTTTCTTTGGTTGCTGGAAGAGGACACTGGCAATGTGCCAGGTCAAATCTTTGAAGGCGGCAAATCTGCAGAGGGAACTCTGCGATGAGTCGACGTGTCGTTCCCCTTTTTTACATGGTCAAGGGGAGGCATCGGAACCCTCGATGAAGTTCGTGTTCCCTCTGCGCGGCTCACAGAACTTGTACGCTGCTTGTGGCCCCCTCATCCCTAAAGGTCCAACTGGGAGAGAAGATACTTGTCACCCCAAGAATATTCAAGAATCATAGACCCTTCAAATTCAAAGGTGAAGGTTTGGGTCCAACCACTGCTACAGTCAAAACTTTCGAGTTCAGCGGTTCCACATGTTCCACTGATGGTTAGTGCAGAATTGGAAGCCACCAACGCTTTCATCATCCCTGGCTGCGAAAAACGGATAGAAACAGAATCTGGCGGGACCTGCTTTTTGCTCGTCTTGGAGCCACTGGTTTGTTGGGCGCGCTCAAACCTCAGCATGTAGTCTCGTCACGATGGTCGATGACCCACGTCAAAACACGGACTGCTCTGCCGGAATGGTGCTTAGCAAACAGATTTTTCATACGATATGTTTTGGTCCCTCAGGACAAACGCTCTTTTGGTCCATTTTGACTAACAGTCACTATTATGCATGCCGCTGCCATTCGCTTATGACTAACAGGGAGTGTATGGCTTTGCGTCGAAGGAGGCCTGCAACCTGTGTCCTTCGCGTTCAAAAGGTTTTGCTGGAGCTCAGTTCCGAGGTCTGGCAGTAGAACCAAGTGTCTACCAAATTGTTTTATTAGTCTTTATGCATCTTTCTGTTTCTTTCTGCTTGTCAGACCTTGTTTGACCAGCAGTTTGTGGTTTTTCCTCTGCTTCTTCCAATGTTTTCCACACTGCGGACCGAGCACTCGAAGAAAACGGATGCTCAACCCGAACTCTGGGTTTCTGGGAGAGGCTCACCAAGTGGGTGGGGGCAACCCCGCCTATGTACTTCTACCTGCTTCCATCAGAGGCAAACCTGCCTGTCCTTCACGATTATGAGGCAAAGCCTCTGGAGGAGGAGCCGGTGAAAGCACTTCAGGCAAAGGGGAAGCAGCAAAAGCCGTCAGTCAGTGAATAGAAGACACCCGGATCCGTTGACCTCTCTCCGGCTACTTGATATTCTTCATTGGTAGGGCAACCAGGGCCCCTTTCTCTGAAAAATGACGCCAACATAACAAAAAATCTTTGTGGGGCAGCGCCCTGCAGCACCATCACCGAGGACTGCCATAGACATCTAGCAGCGGCACTGGCACCCTGCAGCGGCACCCAGCAGCACCAGCACCCAAGCTTCAATGCATCTTGCAGCGGCACGAGCCCACAGACTCCCAAAGCGCACACAGCCACCTCTTCCTATACTTGAAGTGATAACCCCAATAGCTCTCGCTATCTGGAGAACTAGTACTACATAAAACATTGTACACTGTACACCTTGGACTCAACGCGTAGTAACACCGGAGAGTGCACGTTGGACTCGTTCGATCGTCTTCGTATCGACCTACACACCATCTGCACTGGGCTCCCTGGCAGTGCGTCCACATCCAGCGCCCCAGGAACTTCCAACGTCCCGCTCTTGGGCGCAGAAACGCCACCTCCAAGCGCGCCGGGCACACCACACAGAATGTGCTGTGGGGTCAAAACGTCGGACACCGAGGGGTCACTCGACTTGCGCACACTCTCCGCGCGTTCCCCACACACCCCTTGAGACACTATGGCATTAGGTACCAAGGGGGTGAAAAGTAAAATGAAAGTGAAAAGTAAAATGAAAGTGTCAACATGGGTAGTGACATCGTAAAATGAATTGAAGACGGCTACGAAACGGTGAAATATTGTAACGAAACCACAGCTAACGAATTAGACAGACAAGCTTAGGCAGTTCCTTTTTTAGTTACATGGTGACTGCTTAGTTGAGACTATGCACTCACCATTCTAATTGGGGTCAGGCATTGATGCGTATGGTATGTTCCTTTTGTTTGCATTCCAAAGTTTTGAGTTGAAATCACGATTGGAAGGGAATGTCTGGTTGAACTGTAATGCGGAGGATTGCTAGTTTTGTGACATCAAAATGCAAGCTGGAGCATCAGCCAGTATGGTAGGGTGGAGCATCAGGTTTCTGTCGAACTGGTTTGTGTCGTCGTAATGCCTGCGTAGTTTCTTCCAAGCAATGCTATAGTCGGACATCGGGCGAGATATGAAAAACACCTCCGCGGATTGGCCTCTTAAATCCAAGTCTTTCCAAGCTTTTGGCGTCTTGTAACTTATATATATAGAGAGAGACCCCCAAATAAATAGAAGTTTGTAGATCCCCTCTTAGACTAAGAATGTATTGGAAACCCATGCAATCCTATCTATTTGGGGATCACTATATCTTGGATGTGGATCTACCTATCCGATACGTTCGCGCGAGGGCTCTTCTTCGCACATCACGACGCGCACCTCTTCAGCTTGGCCCGTCAAGTTACGCTGTTAGTTGGGGCAAACCAGGTTTTGACCCATCCCTATAATATATCTTGAGACAATGTTTTTGGGGAGTGAAAAACTCCTCACCGGTCTCACTGGTGAGCAATTCATTTGTGAGACAAATAGCAAGTTGTTGTTTGCTCCAACTTGACCAGAAGCAATGGTGAGCATGCGTGACCATGGATAGCCAGAATGTAAAAGAACTGCGCCAAACATGCTGGCATTGCAAAATACCGCCTGTCACAGGATGATCACAGCGTGAGAAGCATGGAAACGCCGTGGGAAGCAAGGCCTGCCCCGCAAGACCGTGTCAATTCTCCTGCAAACCGTCGCATTGTGGCCCTGTCAATTGAGATGAACTGGATCTGTCCCACTTCAGGCTTTCTAGGGAAACATGCCTGCTGTTTCCCTGCTATAGTGTTGGCAGTGATGGCAGTCTCACAGAACGTTTAACAAAGATCCGAAGGCGGTCGGCGCGCCACGAACAAGAATGAAGTGCCTTCAAGAAGCCTAACCGTCAAAAACTAGCCACATGTTTCACCCCCGCATTGGCCAAGCCCAGCTGCGGGAACGTTTGGGAACACCCACAGACCATCGGACCAGACCGGATCTGGTCCTGGAAAGGCTCTGAGAGGTTCGAGTCAAACCGCCTCCCAGACAGTAATTGAAAAACCTCTTCAGGCTTGAGGGGTTGAAGTGTCAACCGTCTATATACCGTTTACCTGTCTTGGTCGCATCCTCTTTCACCACCCACCTTGACCATCCCGTCAGTGAAGGGGCCTGGGCGATCTCGCCGATCCTTCTCCTCCGGGATGATCAGCTTCTCCATGGCCTCGGCACATCTCGGCACCCAGTGGTGAATGAATCCGAGAACGGCTGCGGAGATGGCTCCCACCCGGTCGAAGCGGCCGAACCTGCCGGCGGATCGAAGGTCGGCAGGGCTGGCTGCGGCGGTCCGACCGACGAAAAACACCCGAGGTGCCCAGGGGTGGGGGGGACCGGAGGCGGAAGATCCCATGTTCTGGGCGAAGAAGAACGGAGGTGAACATCGGATGTAGGTATGATGTAGGTATGACTGGAGCCTCCCACGCCGCGGTTCCAAACCTCCTCAGGTTCGGTACCGGAGCCCGAAAGACAACAGACGTTTGGCTCCATTGATTCCGAAACGACACGAACGAGAAGCGCCCGACCTGCACCACCCAGTTCGGGTGGTTTACAGACCCCCCCCTGAAGAGGTATCTTCCATCTAAATACCAGCCAAAAGGGGGTGGTGCTGGATGATATTTGCAAAAGGTTCATTGTTGTTCATGGTTGAAGTCCCATCATTGTAACAAGGCATTGCAGTATCATGCAGTATCCAAATTGGCCTCTACGCTTAGATTTTGCTACTGCACATGCACAGCACCTCAACATGGTGCAAATGGTGCTGCTTCAAACCTCCGGAATTTCAGAATGTCCACCGACCACCCACCGGGGAGGCCAAGTTGCAAGCTAGACCGGCTAGACCACCCACCTTTCTCGGCTCCGGACTCGGAAACCGCGTCCTTTCTCGGCTCCGTTCGTAAGGCCAGGGGTGCGACCGTCGCTTCTCCCGTGCTGCCGATCGGTGCGGTCCAAGCAGGACCCAAAAACTTGAATCAGATGGCTTCCAAGGGAAGCACCGAACGGAGGGTCCAGGTATGACGTGAGCGCTCAGGTGCTTCTGGTGATTTTACACTCAAAGATAAGCGTGGAAATGGATGGCATAGGCCCCAACACGACCATGAATTCCAAATACCAAACAGTGAACTCACTCCAACTCACTGCACGAAACCTACGAAACCATGATTTGTTCAGGGAGTGTTCGCGGCAGAAGAGAAGCGCCGTCAAGGCTCTCCCTCGTAGCGCCGTCGTAGGACCTTGCGAAACGAAAACCGACGGAGTGTCGACCGACGGACCTCGCCTGTCCCAGACGCTCCATGTACTAGCACCCGACTTCACAGGTCACCACCTGACCCTTTCAAGTCTACAAAAGAGGAGACGTGTTGGAGGGTGCTGGTATGGAATACATGCCCCATTGACCCGACCCCTTTTCAACCACCCCCCGTCTGTATAATTCTATCTATGTTTCGTTTGAACCACCCCCCGTCCGGAGCGGGTCAGCCGTCACGAGAAACGTCACGAAAACGTGTTGGGCTCATGGGTGACCTGGATGGAACGACCAGGTCGTTGTGTCTCAGCGACTCTCTAGGGGCGAAGACTTCTGCGGCCTCCCAAGATCGGAGCCGACTTCGGAGCGACCAAAATCTCGGAGCGACGTCATGTTTCGCATGTCCAACGTCTTCCCGTGGACGGAGCATCGAACCGATTTTTCCAGGCGGACTTGCAGCTTCGAGAACTGCTTGGGCAAGGGACGTGGATGTCAGGGTTCTTCTTCTCCTCTTTCACTCGGTCAGCTTCTTGGTCGATGTACCTGGCTGAATGCGAGTTTCAGTAGGTCCACGTTCATCCCATGGCTTCAAATTCATGGCTACCTCCCTAGTCTTACGCTCAATCACCTGTTTGCACTGACTGGTCAGAAAATATAGTGGTTTCTTAAGGGAACAATGAATGACACAGTTCACAGTTGATGAAAGTGCTGTTTCAAATGGCCCACCACCACACCTCCGCCACTTCTGTGTCTTTCGCTTGGCTTGAACAACCGCTCTTTTCCATACTGTCTCTGGCACAGACTAGGGGAACGTCTTCCCTTCCCAGAACTCTAAACTCCAAGAAACATGCTCCTAAACGATTTTGGCCTTTCAAAAGTTCTTTGGGAAGCTTTGTAACATGATCGCAACCTTAATGACATGACTCTATTTGTTTCCTTCGCGCCAGGCCAGGCCATCCGTTTCCCCTGCGCGGTTCACGCGTGACCTTCACTCGCGCAACGCTCACGCGCACCACATGGCCGAGAGAGCCAGGTTCTTGGCATTCTCCGTGGAGACCGTCACCAAGTCGTCGGGCTGGGCGGAAGAAGAGGATCCACGTGCGACGTGTTACAGCATCGCGTGGCATGAAGCGACATGGAGTCTGGGAAGCTCGAAAATGGAAGCATGAGGCTATAGTAGCAAGAAGCTACGAGGTTGGAGGCCATCGCCAGTAGGTTGGAGCCCAGTACTACTAGATACTACTAGTAACAAGAAGCAAAGGCTTCTAGGTTGGACACCTAGGAGGCAGATTCATGGCTCCAAGAATTCAGAATCCACCTGGTCTTTAAGCCTGTCGTGCGAAGCCGGCATGAGCGTACCAACGTTCCGGTGTTCGGGGAACTCCACCAGGAACGCCCTCCAGACATCAGTTCAGTCTGCACCAGACATCTCGGTACCCCGACCAGTCGACCCCAACGAAGATGAACGTGAGTCACATCGAAAGCAAAACCGTTGAACCGTTGAACCGACGGAGTCGGCACATGAAGCCACCAAAAGATGCTGCTTAAAGCTCCCGGGTTCTATTATTGATCCATGACATTCAGATCTCATTCACTTTCACCCATCCTCACGTCAGGTATCCTCTCCACAAAGAAAGGAAAACCTGGGGGCAGCGGTTTGAACATCGCTCCGCCTGGTCTTCCTCTTTGAGCTTCAAGGCTTTCAAGCGATCACGCATCTTCCTGAGCGTCGACTTGGTGAATCTGGGCGTGGAGTCAGACTGGGCCCCAATAAGTCGTGCTTGGCACTCCTCAAGTTGGCCCGAGTTAGCTTGAAAATCGGAAGTTCAAGTTGGAACACTTCGAGTTCGAACTTTCCATTTAGTTCCTAGTAGCGATGCCCTTTGTTCCTAGTAGCTTCTTGTTCCTAGTAGTACGGCCAGGAGCCCAGCGATGCCAGGAGCCCCTAGTAGCTTCTTGTTCCTCAATAGTGTCCCCAATCCCCCCAAAAAGGTGGCCCTTGTAGGGCCTACAAGCTGTGAAATCGTCGACGCATGCAGACAGCGCAGCCCAGATGGGTGGCCACTGGTGGAGATGAGGGGGGTCGGAACACAGATCGAACTCTCCCAGATGGTCTGAGGTATATCTTGGTTCGCCAGGTCCAGTCTGATTCGAAGCCGAGATTGATTTCAAACACAAAGAGAAAGATTCAAGGTGCCCCCTCGAATTGAAGATCTGACCTTTACAGCAAGTGCCAAGCACCACAAAAACGAGACTTCAGAACCACTCGTGTAGGTCACGAACCACTCTAATTCCAAAGACCTACAAAACAATGATGCCAATGCAATGAAACCGTCTCGCGGCGCAAGACAGCGATACGGGCTTGAGCAGCTGAGGCCTCCCGACATGGTAAAATCGTCATCCCCGGGCTCCAGAGTGCGTGGCTGGCGGCCGTCCGCGTCGTTCGAGTCGACGAGTCCGACGAGTCACTGACCATGTCGTCGCGATCACCGGGCGTGTCTCATGGATGTGAACCTGAGGATTGTTCGCGGTCCCATCGAGCTGCATGCTGGGGTGTCCTCATGTTGGAGTGATTTCCGATTGTCTGTGGCTCTTGAATCCTAAAGACGGGCCATATTGTTTGTTGAAAAAAAAAGAAACAGAACCAGGAGACTGGACACTCTTCGTTTTACCAACAACATGGTACGCCGGACAAGACGAAAACATCACATGGTTACGTGGATGGCTATGGTGGTCCCGAAAAGGAAGGACTTTCCGGTGAACTCCTGTGAACTCCACTTCCATGTGATGTTTTCGTGTGAGATTGGGATGTTGTATCGATGCAAGAGTGGGACTATCTGTGAAACATATAATAGATGAAGATCCCAATGAAAAGAACACAACTTCGTATTGATTCTGAAACATGTTCTGGGCAACTCAGTCACTAGGCACCCTGAAGTTTCCATATACAAAACCCTGAAGTCCAAGACTTTTTTATAGTTGATCTGGTTTTGTGGTGAAAAAAACTTATAGTAAAACCATGGTTGTTCGGCAAAGGATGGCAAAGGCAAAGAAACAGTAAATGAATATGTAAATCTATATCATTGTGGTTGGAATCGTTTTAAAAATCATTGATCCCAATGCTTGAAAAAGGTCTCGCAGATTTGCTTCGTCAACCCGGAACCTGTCAAGTGAGGAAATCAGTTCTTCGACGACGTGCCTGTTTGCGCTGGCGGTGTCTGGCCGGTAGCGCCTGCTTCTTCTGGGGCATCTTGAAAACCAGCGGCTTCCATGGCTCCTATCAAAGGGGCACAGGGTCTAGGAGCCTCGTTGAAAACTGGACTAGAGGATCGTGGGCGATTCTTTGGAAAGTCTGCTTCTATGTCTAAAACGGTTTAAAATTCTATTATACATCTCTCTACCCATGAAGCTGGGATTCATGGTATCGGCCTCCACAGCAATGAAACTGCATTCGTGTAGCTCTAAGACACTCTTCAAATGTGTGTATCTCTAGAGTCTAGAGCCTCAAAAACCCCTCAGGGCCTTCCAGGGCCTTCCAGGGCCTTGCACGTTACGACCCTATCAGCACCCGGTCGCCGGCGACGTTCGCCGCCTGCGGCGTGGCCTTCTTCGGCCCCGTGGGCCCCGCGCGCCGCAGCACGGCGGGGCTCCTGGCGACGTGGGCGTCGACGCGAAAACCGTCGCCGTGGGCGCCCAGACCGATACAGCAGAGATCTCGGGGGTTCAAGGTTCACTCTTGTGGAAGGCCAGGTGCAAATGACCATTCACAAAAGAACAATATACAGATCTATATACCCCAGTATATATATGCAGTAGAAGAGGAATATTTTCCAGCACTGGTGGTTGATACATTCTTGCTCAAGAGACACATCACCAAATCTTGATCACTCGATTGAAAAAACCAACAAGTGGCGTCCAAATTTGTTTAGGACTATTGGCTACGGCTATGACAAACTAGCAACTGGGAACTCCCTGTAGCTCCTTGGTTGTCTGCTTGATGGGGAATATGAATACCCCCAGCTCCGAATCGCTCCCATGTATATGTGTTACGATATTGGGGCAGGGCACTTTCCTACCAAGGCATCGTGGATCGTGATGTGACACGTCTGCGTGGCTGAAGCGAGAAAAAAGACCAAGTTGGGCAAGAAAGGTGAAGGACACAGACGTGGTCGATTTCCAGAGCAAAGCTTCAGGGTCTTCAAACATAGTAAATACTTTGGCGCAAATGGGAGCAGCTTCTGGAGCAGTTTCCAGAGCAGGTTACAGAGCAAGTTCCAGAGCAGGTTGCTCTCGCAGGTTCCAGAGCGCTTTGCCGATATGAGATGCCGCGATGATGTTGTGGCCTCACTTCATACAACTCTTTCAGGGGGGCATGTCACATCTAGAATATTGAATTTGTCTGATTGCCTATACATCTGGAAGAATTAATGTCAAGATACTTCAGGATAGTTTCTGTAAATAGCCGGTAAAAATAGACGTTGCCTTCATTGCAGTTCTCAGGATTCTAAAGCTGGTTGTTTGATGTGATATGGCCATTCAACATCAAATTAGGGGGTCTATGTTGGCTTTCCTTGTGACTATTCGACAAGTGGATGGCATTTGGAATAGTTTGCCAGATCGAAAAATGTGGAACGAGTCTGGAATAATATCAAACTATCCCGAGGTATGTTGAGAGAGGGGTCTAAGGGACAATACAATGTTGTCACGCCATAGCGCTGACACGTCATGATGCTGGCCTGCTGTCACGGTGACATGTTGACATGCCATCAGGCTATTTTGCTACCCTGCTAACATGTTTTGTTTCTGACACGCGAAGTGCGACGTGGTGCCATGTTGGTTTGTTGTGTAGCTAGAATACTGTCAAGAAGGGGTGTAGACACGCTGACATGCTTCATAGAAATTGTTACACTGTTATGCTGGCGTGGTGTCATGCCGACAAAACAGTCAGGCTGTCGGGCTGACATATTGTCATAACTACTGGCATAGGTTGTCACGCCAACTTGCTGGGGGCTGCAGAGCCTGTTCCAGAAGAGGCCCCCTGGGTTTTGCTTGTTGCGGTGTTGTCATGCTTTCACATACAGTATGTGGCGCATGTCGCTATGCTGCTAAACTGACGTATTGCCGTGTTAACATGCTCGTGTGTCACGTTGACATTCACACCTTTGAAAGCAGTGTCTAACAAACACCCCCCAGTTGTGTACAGCTTGCAAACGTCGCAAGTTGATTGACAAATGCCAAATGTTGCCATTGCGTAATCAGCAACTTTATGCCCAGTTGTTGGTGATTTGTCGACAAACAATCCCGATGGGAATCGGGTTCACAGGCTTCTTTGATTTCCACGGGCATGAAAAATGTACATGGAGGATGACATACACATCCCCTAAAGAGTCACTCAAGACAGAGTTGTTTCAAGACAAAGGGTGCAGTTTGGTGAAGTCTGCCCAAATGTTCGCCACCATGTAACCCTCAGGAGTGTTTCCTTTGAAGCCAATCAGCTCAGTCCTGACCTTGCTGAGCACAGGGGTTAGGTCACTCAGATGAAGATGCATTGGAGAATGGGACGACCATGGAGCGTGTCCACACTTGAATTCCACATCCTTGGCTGACATGGCTGCGGTGTCCAAAAGCCCTTTGACCCGGTAGGTGGACCTCCCGTCTTCGACCTGTTCGGTGTCCAAAAACCCGGGTGTCCGGGTGCCATGACCCACGAGGCCCGTCGATGCAGAAGTTCTGAGACGACGAGATGGCTCCCGAGGACACGAGGAATCAGATGGCTCGACAAGGAGTCGAGATGGCTCTCAGGGGAACCGTATAAACTCGGTTGAAATCTCAACATCCCAGGCCTCTGTAGAGGTTTTACAATCCAAATAAGGAGCCTGAAAATAGGATAAAATAGGTTTTCTTCATCAAGCGTCGAGCGTGCGAAAGCACCAACTCTGTAATTCGAGTGCTTTTTGTGTCGTTGCACTGTTCGTTGAACGCATGGACGCATCGCGTTCTACGGCACTACGACGATACCTCAGTCCATACGGACAGGTGTCGGACGGTGTCGGTGTATTTGTGCGAACGGCTTGGGAACACGCTTTGCAGGCGCCATTTGCGGGAGTCAACTCGATGAACGGTGTGTTGCTTCGTTGACCATAACGATCCATCTGCAACTTGGATCTTGCCTGTTGCTGTAGACACAGCTGTAGACACGGCAGTCAGCGCAACCCCAAGTGCTCTCTTTGACCAAAACGGTTCCAAACAAATGCCCCAAATGAATCCAATTCCAGCGCCCAAAAATACGGAATGTGTGTGTGAGTGTGGTGACACACACTTAGATAAAGGCTCGCAAGAGCAGTATCAGTTGAGGTAATCCACTTTAGTGATTACAATACCAGCTTAGAGCGCTGCCTGAGACCTGGGAAACAGCCCTGAGAGGAACGGCAAGGTGAATAAGTCCGAAACAATATTGTTTAAATCATCGTCTTGAATCTGCAGGTACATGAGAGTGATCAGCTCTCACTTCCCTCGATACACCATAGCTTCGTTGCGTCAGGTAGGTGTATCGAGCCTGACGCACCTGCTTTGTACACAAGCGAAATTCCTTAGAGACAGGTGTTCACACACACACACACACACACACTCCCTCTCTCTCTCTCTCTCGCCACACACTCCCACGATCTGCACCACTCTCCGGGGACAGGGGACGCCTCGACCCCTACCGCCCCACGACCGGACGGGGCCCGGACGGCCTCAGACGCTCCAAGTCCACGGAGACGAAGCCCACGCCCGCGATGAGGGCACTCCAAGTGACCAGCCCAAGGCCTTGGTGCTTCGACGAGCCCGGCACGGCCCGGGCGGAGCCTACGGCTTCAGCGGCTACGTTTCACTGAGAAGGTGGTTGGGGGTACACCGGAGTTCCGAGACTCACATGGAACCGGGCGACCCGCATGGAGACTGGGTCTGACGGTCTGACGACGGTTTTCCCAAGACCAACCCAACGTGGTGAACTCATGTTCGGTCATCTTCCAGGGCGTAGGTGCCAGCGCGAGCGCCCCAGCGGGTGGGGTCTGTTGCCCACCGAAAAGGAGGTCGAGGTGAACAGCCAGCCGGGTGGATCAAAGCGGGAAGGGGGGGCGTTGGCGGCATTGGGGGCGTTGCGGCATCGTGGGGTGTTGGCGGCACGGTAGACTCAGGAAGGCGCGTGGGACTGGAAATAGGAGTGAAAAGCCTTTGGACACCCTTTGGGCTTAAACTGGAGATCCAAAGAAAACTGAATGGCCATGGTTGGCGGATGAGTCAAGTGACAATCAAGAAATTCCCACCACATGCATGCTGGTGAAAAGATTTCTCAACACAAACTCTTATTTGACCGTGGAGTTGGTGGTCATGGATACAGTTACAGTATACTCTTGATAAATAAAAGCCCCCAGACACGGATTGTAAAACCTCTTCAGGCTTGGAGGATGTTATTCATCCAGAGTCTATATTAGAGATTCTATGAGGCTCTCTCCCACCAGTGCCCCTGGACTTTTCGCTCGACACTCGCGGCCAACGTCAGTCATCGTACCTGGCGATGACTGGTCGGACTCATGAAAGTGTTTGACAACCCCTTGGTTAGACAGCATCTATGGTCCAACGTCTATGGTTGACAGAACCTGAGAAAGAGTTATCCTGAGGAAAGATCATGGGTCGATTCTCAGAATGGGGAGATAAACCTCTCAACAACCGCAGGTAGTACCACTCATCGACTCATCCACCAACTTAACCATGGGTCATAGGTAGAAGCAAAGGGTTGGAAGTCTTGCTGGAGACCAAGTTAGCTTGTAAATGGTGTGCTGCCTCTCAAAACACTGCCCTTGATCGGATCTCCTTACATTCCCTTTCTGTGTGTGCTCTGGACCACCCCCAAACCAAATTGCTTGGGATCACAGCCAGCCTTTCACGTGTGTGTTTCAACCCTGACTTCGAATTCGTCATTTGTCCCCTACAGGGACAGGCTTCGAAGAAGAATCGAAAGGCTCATAAGCCAATGTAAAGAAAAGAAGTACAGCCAACAGGCTCACCTGAATGCATTAGGTGACAGTCTCATAAGCCGCTTATCAACCACATACATTCAGTAAAGACACCGTTTTGCAGGGGGTTGTTGCTTCACATGCACCTCCAAAACCTGGGTTTTGAGCTAGATGTTTATCAAACGGTCTTCAGACCAGGCCTCCACAAAATTTGGAGGGATATGGAAAACTGCTAAGAACAAAACACCCCCTGCCGTGGTCCGCGTGGTCCCTCCGTTCCCTTCCCTCGTTTAACACTCCGAGCCTGGGCATCAGACCCACACGCTTCAGCGCGCGCTCGGCGTTGCGGCGAGCATCCCAGCTGAAGGTCTTCTTCACGAGTTGAAAGGCCTCAGGAGATGAGGCCTAGTGCCATGAGTTAGTGCCATATGATTGATATGATGATGTGATGAGTTGATATGAGTTAGTGCCATGTGTTGGCTTGGATGGATATCTGGAAAATATCTGTGATCCAAACCATGAGATGTCCAGCGCCTTGCCAGGCCTTGAGACGGTCCGAGGCAAGTGGAAGCACCACCAGTGAAAGGTAGCCATCTCAAAATCAGGTACAAGGGTCATTTGGAGCGGTGTTATTGTTAAAAGAAACTCGTTTCAATGTCTTGAGAATGCCAATATTGCAAGTCATATGGAAATGCATCTAAAGCATCATCAGCATTTCACTCTGAGCCACAAACATTGGAAAATCATCTGGTACTGAGCTGTTTGTACAAGAAGATTGTTATCCAAGGCCATCGCACTTCCATGATCAGTTCAAGGAGTGTAAGAAGCTTGTAATGGAGCCATGCTGAAGCTACTCCGGCTGCTAACTGACTTGTGGAATTGTGATGCGCAACTCACTCACTACAAGTTGATGCTGGACGATGGACATGGATTCGATGGAATGCGAAGGATGCGAAGGTGGGGCATGGGAAACCGAGCCTTTGGACGGTGCCAAGAAAACCACGGCAAGTGGGCTCTTCATCTCTTCCAAAAGCAGGAAACACTTTAACTCAAAAGAAGTCCTGACCCGATCCGATCCTGAAAATTCTGGACAGATCTGACCGACCTGTGCGTAATCCACCCAGCAGCTCTCATCTCCCAGAATTTGTAATCCCAGCAGCTCGTTCCGCTTCCTCGCGCGCCAAGGCCATCTCCTTCTTCCTGTCGTGGATGTCAAACGAAGAACCGCGGCGCAGGGTTAGGGGTCGGTCAGAACTACGGCCGTTCACGGCCATGACGAAAGATCTCTTTTGCCAAGGAAAAGCTGGTGTGAAGTCCTTCACACTGCATGGGTATGCCATGGCATGCTCCCCCAACTCCTGCCACCCCAATCCTGTCAGGAAAGAGTGGTGAAAACGGTTGAACCACGTGGCGAAAGCAACGGTTGAACCACGACTCTCAAGGACGTTTGGTCGTCATGAAACGGCGCTTTTTGCGGTGTTTGGGGCACAGTACAGTCTGCACGGTTAGGAGATGCAAACCCGTAGCAAATTGCATAATATGAAGTACCAAACAATGAATGTCTATAGATATCGTTTTTCAGGGTGCCCATCCTTTAAAGTAGGGAAATCACATTCTTACACATTCCATGGCGACTTATGTACAGAACTCTTCATCGACATGTTTTGACCCTTGCACATATGTGTAATCAAAAGACCAGAGTGCGTGAATCATTGTGAATCACTCAACATTGGTTTTAGGCATTAATATCCCATTGCTATTGAGTTGGAGGCCATCGCTACTAGGGTGGAGGCCATTGCCATTAGGAGGAAGGCCATTGGTTTTAGATATATCCATGTATCTCCCATTCCGGCCCAGTAGATGTTTCCCTTCTGTCCACCTGGGCCCAGTAGATGATCGGCCTTTCTCAGAAGAAGGTTCCACCGTCTACATGACTATATTGGACCGCTGCTTTGAGAGGAAAAGACCCTGCTTGGGGCTCAAAACAGGGACATGACTCAGATTTCGGTTTTGTACGTGAACTTGGTGGCTTGGGGCCCATTGGGCATGACTGTCACCACCTTTCCATTCCATCCAGAATAGCCCGCCCACCCCTCCCAACCACAAGAGGACATGTCATCCAAACAATCCAAAGTACAATGAATCAAATATGGAACCATGAATCCAACCACCTTTCAGTGAATACAGCTGACAATGACTCTGATCTTGGAAAAATGAACCCAACACCGGGATCTCCGGACACCGGTCATCGTCCCCGGGCGGTCGGACCTGAAGTGGAGCTCCGAGCTTAACACCAAAGCGCGCGATTCCTCGGTGTTCTGCAAGCAGATGAGACAGGAAGAATGGAGCCCAAAACATGACAGGGTCTACTTGTGGTCTTTAAGGCGTAATCCAATCCAAGCAACCACACAAGCCATTCACTTTGGTATCCAGTTCCACCCAATCTACGTGCCCACACTGATGATCTTCTTTTCACGGGAAAAATGAGCGAAACATCTGTTCGTTATGAGCGAAACATCTGTTCGTCATGGACTACTACTGGGTGTCACCGACCAGGGATAGGCCGCCAGGGATACGCTCAGTCGGTGCTGACACCGCCCAGCTGCGTGAGTGATTAGCTCTTCGCTGTTGCGCGGAGGCCCCCAACGCGCCACCGGCACGAATCGGCCTGAACCTGTGACGTAAACTTCCCATGACTAGGCTTCAGTGGATGATGCTGGTTGGGTTGCAGGCCCTGCCCAAAGATAATCATGTTTTTACTTACTGCTACTGATTTACTTGGACACGCATTCTATGGTCAGGGTTTGTGTTAAGAAATCGTCCTAAATAAGAAACCAGACTCTTTGGAGGGAAAGTCAATTACTCGTCTGACGACGATCCCCCAACATCCGATAGCACAACAAAACATGTATAAATATATTATATATATATTGATTTATTGGATATATGTATGTACATGTATTTTGCGAGTGGATCTTAATCAGCGAAGTTTGAAGCTATCACTGACGGTCCATAAGCGGCGTAGCGTCGGAACGGAATCCGCACCTTTTCTAGTCGCTTGATCCTTGAGCCAAAGTACATATGGTACATGTATATATGTACATGTTGCACTGTACATGTCACTGCACTTCCATTCGCACCCCCCATGTGAACGGTAACAATATGTTCCGATCACACACGAAAATTTAGGGATGTAAGTGCTACAAAGGAATTGTATGATTTGCCGCGAGACTCATATGAGGCTCATACTACAGAACATGCTGGACTAAAGCGGACTTTTACATATAAAGTGTGCAACTATGGCTCAGAATCTATAAAAAAAATCGAATTGAACAAGTGAGACAGTCACGAGGCCTCGCTCAGTGTCCACTCAAAAGAGCATCACTTTGATGTAGACCCGAACTGGTGACTTCCACGTAGATGTCACATCGGCAACTGACTTCACACTTCTCAAAGATGTAGTTTTTTTGGTTTGGATACACTTACAGAACGGCAAGTCGGAGAGACAGTCGGTGATTGTCTTCCTTCCATTATGCTCATGGTATCAAATCAAATTGACGATTTGCAATGATACACTTACAGCGTTTCAGGTCAGATAGACATCCGGTGAATGACTTCCTCCCTGGTTTGCATGGTATTCTCATAGTCGTTCAAAGAAATCACCACTGGTGATAACCTCTCCATCCACGATGATCCCAGCTGCCCTGAGCATCCCATCGATCATCTTCTCCCTTCTTGGACTTTCCCTTGGACTTGCTCTTTCCCTTCCCCTTTTCAGAAGGTTGAGGTACTTCGCGATGTTCTTGCGTTAGCGCCGGCCTCCAAGATGTTCCAGATTGGCCTCCTCCTTTGGAATGTCCTCGGGATGATGAAGAAGTTGTACCTTCTGCTGCATGTGTGTTGGCGGCAAGATCTTCCTTCAAGGCTTGCTCGAACACATCGGTAGCATTGGATGGTGATTTATCATGTGATCTGGCTTTTAGAACAGCCTTCGCCTTGTTCTCCTCTGTGGAAGGTTTTGGTTCCTCACTTGGTGCTGACGACGGCTTGGCCTCGGTTCTGGGTGTAGATGCTGGCTTTGCCTCAACTCTTGACGAAGATGCTGTTTTCGCTTCAGACTTAGTCGTTGATGTTGACTTAGCTGTTGCCTTGGCTGCCTGCTTCTTCTTGCCCTGAATCTCCTTGGCCCTATCTCCAAAGCCTAGACGATTGGTAAGAGCTTGGACATGCTTATGTTCTACCACGCTCATCCATCTCTCTGTATGTCCAACGTTGGGGTTTCTGGCCATTGACTCTATGACTTCCTGAGCCTGTGGGGGCAACCTGATTTCATGTTGATCAATGATCAAAAGAATAGACTTCTCCCACTTGCTCTTCATTCTCGAGTACATGATGTCCAGAGGATCGATCACCTTGTGGTAGGGTGATGTAATGTCGGTTCTAAAATAAGAATATGTCCGACACCCATAAATCGCATGGATGCACTTCTGTACCAATTCAGTCATTGCACTGGCTTTCTTCGCTTTCAACTCCTCAAGCTGGGCGTCAGTCAAGTCGGTGGAGTATTCGAAGTTGCCATATTCCTCTTTGAAGGATTTCGGAGTATGACCGAATGATAGGATCATGAGTGCTACCTTGCAAATGAATTGTTCTCCTCTGAATCGGTGCCAGGCCTCCTCAGTTGTAATATTGTTGTCGTTGGCAAAGTTTAACATCATGTCATCTGTTGGATCCAATGGTCTCCCATCGTCATCGATTTCAGTGGAATCTCCTGTACCAAACTTACTTATCACATCCAGACGCTTCTTTTTCCAATTTGCTTTGAAGTCGGTAAGGTTGGTGCAATAGTAGCTCTTGTACATCAGGGAGATCATGTTCAGCACACATTTGACCACATACCTATCCATCAAACCCGATGCATTCATGGAGACGTCCTGACAGTAGGCTCTCTCTTGATGCGCATAGATTCGAGGTTCCGGTACTCGACAATAGATGGGGAGATCTTCGTTGTCTCTTCCTTCCTCGGGATTGAACTCGGTCGCTCCATGCTGTGTGTAGTACCCCGGTTCATCACGATCTGTCGGTCGATTTGCCTCCGGATGTAAATCGTCGGTGACGTCTTCATCCTCGGGCTCACCATCTTGACGTTTCTTCTCCTCATATTGTTGTGTGCTCCTCTGGATCTCGATGATCATGTTTCGTTCGTCTTCATCTTCTAGATCAGAATCACGGCCGTAGTCGATCTCATCCTCATTGAAAGATGGGGTCTCGACATTGTCACTCTTGAGGTTCTCTGCACCATCAGACGGTTTGGAAGGGTCTTGATTGTCCATGTCCTCGTCGTCATCAGCTGCTTCAGTTTGAGCGATGTCTTCTTCCCAAGCTTTTCTGATCTCGTCCATAGTGGCCTGATCCAACATATCTTGATCATCATGTTCAGGCTTCTTCTCTTCCTTCTTTTCTTCTTCATCGTCGCTCACAAGATCAACGGGTGAATCGGAAATGACAGTGTTGCGAATACCACACGAGAGTAGCCTGCCTTGACAAGATAGGCATACGGACAAAGATGAAGAAGTCAAATGCATACATGATGGACATAAAATATTGCCATCCACGTTGCGATACCCTTCACATGTTCTGGAGATGATTTCGTCCCAAGTTTCCTCACTGATGGAATCCTCGATCAGCTCTCCATTGTCATCGAATCGTACTTCATCGATAAGGGACACGAGCTCCTGGACGTTGTCATCTGTCGCCGAGGCTGACTTTGTGACTTCGTCGGCTCTGCCGAGGATGGTATGCTTCTGAGCGACCCAAAGTCCATGACGTGCCGCTAGAACAACTTGTTCTCCAGTGCTTCCCAGCAGGAGTCTCCTCCATGCCTGACCGTGGTCATCCCAATACCAAGCACCTCGTACACATCTCCATGGAACTTCTCTAAAAACAACAGTGTAGGAATTCTCCGAAATTCTTCCTCCAAGCTTCCTCAAAGTCATGATTGGAACATAAAGGCAAACGGGCATTCCCCCTCTTGGCCATCTTGATCTCAGGATCTTTGATGATCGATCATCCCACGGCGCAAAGTGGTTGAAGAAGACACTACCTCTATATCCATCCATTCCACCAGGGACAATTCCTAGTTTCATGATTGACTCAATATTGGAAAGCGATGTCATGTGAAAGCTTCCTCCAAGCTGCATTGCCACATTCTCTGGAATGAGATGTGAGGTCCATACAGGATATATTGACACATCCTCTTCAAGAACAGTCTCTCTTCCAGAATTGTGAGAGGCAACGGCTCGAATTGCACAAGGAACGATCCAACGTTCATGCTTCAGAAATGATGGTGCATCTGTGCCGTGAAACATGAGGTTTGCCCAGTATCGCCTTTCCTCTTCGAGTGAGACATCCTCCTTTGAGATGCGAACGGCGGCAATCTGATAGCGTACTCTGTTCTGCAACTTCTTTGCATGCCACATCGCCTTGCATAAATATTGGTATCGCTCTGTCTTGATATCTTGCTCACGTCGGGTGCCTGTGATAGTACTGATATTGACACCATCGTTGAAGACATGATCATATTCCAGGATCTCATCGATGTTCACCCATCCACCCTCATTGCACTTCGGGGACACATGAGGTTTTCGACCGCGGTGCGATTGAATCCCATTATGTTTTCCCACTCCATGCCTGAGTAGTCTATTGAGTCTATGGCTAATCTCGTTGATCCACTGACTCTCCTCGCTGAGTTTGTCAATGCGAACTGCTGGGTTCATCTTTGGCGGATCCGTGAAAGTTGCATCTACCTTCGGTCCATTCCAGTACTCCACATAAAATGTAACTCCATACTGTGGAATTATCTCAATGTTTCCTCTATCGCAAGCCACCTCAATCTGCCGATATCCAGCCTTTTGAGATTGCTGTGGATCAGGAGCAAGGTCCTTCACTTTGGGCATCTTTATTCCGAGTGCTGCAGCCTCCTGAATAAGTGCATCAAGTTCCCTCTTTCCATCAGGACCTGATCTATCAACCCTGTGATTTGCGACCTTGTACTCTCCTCCTTCTTTGTCATCAGCGATGTCAAAGAGGTCGACGGGCTCTTTGAATCTGGTGACGAAGCTGGCGTTCCCAAAGGCCTTCTTGGTTGCCTCGACCGCTTTCGCGTATTCCTCTTTTGCAGAGTCTGACGAATGTGGTCTACCTTTGGCTCTCGGAGAGTAAGGTGGTACCTTACTTCCTAGTTCCGGCTCTTCTTCGGGAAGTTCAATATCTTCATCATCCACATCCATGTAGTCCTCGTCTTCGACGT